TGCCACCCTTCTGGCAGCGCACCCGACCTCATCGCTGTTTCCCGTAGGTGGTGGGCCCGCGGGACGGAGAAGCGGAGGTGTTGCCCACGTTGCCTTTTCGGGCTGTGCCCGGCCGGGCTCCGTGGCAAGCCCGGACACCAGACGCTCGCCGACGAGTCCTCCTTCTGGGCCTGGCTCCAGAAGGGGACCCCGGGCTTCCTCCGGGCAGGGTATCCTCACTTCGTGTGTCGTCTTTCATGAGGTCTTGTGAACCAATCTTAGTTTGGCCCCTTGCCTGAGACCAATTTGCCATGGGAGACCCTACCAGGAACACAAGGTTCCAGACAACACAGCCCCCAGGTTCATCAGGGCACACACATTTCTAATATGTTAAAAAATGAAATGTATCTTACCAAGTGGTGGCCCTGAGTCCTCTGCAGCTTTAATTGTAGAAAGGACAGCTCCACCCCCAGACAAAATGCCATACCCATATAATTCCCTCATTTTATTGGACACCAGCATGTCAGGTGACATTGTGTATATTTAAAAAAATAAAAATATTTAGAGGGCCAGTGGGAGGTCGAAAAAAGTGGTTTGTTGCCTGAAGGCAACAGTATGCGATAGAGATAGTTTGGATTGTGTGAGTGACTTATCAGTGTATTGCTGCAGTAGATGGAGCTCCATGTCCCCCAGTTTGGTAGGCAGGAGCACCAGCATGGAAGGAAAGCAGTGTGGTGCTTTAGAAATTGGCAACAGCTAAATATATTTTAGCAAACTAAAAGGAAGGCCACCTAAAACATCAGTTTTAGTGTGCACTATATTAAGAAATATTTATTTAGTCTTTTAATCTTTAGGTCAGACACAACTTTCGACAGGGATCTGAAGTAGTTATCTGTCTTCTTCAAAGCCACCAAACACATACATTAAAAAAAAAACATTAGTTGTACGTTGATAACTAAAGTTGTTGGTCCACCGATTCCTTGATTGATTTGTTTGTTTGTGTTATTCTTTGACTTTGAGGAAAGCAAACGTTCTCTTTAAGTCACACACTGATCCTCACAAACTAACCAATCGAGGCAGCCAGCAACTCCCATGTTCGGCGAGGTAAAGTAACTTTTTTGGTCAATGGTGGCTGTGAAGAGAGCATAAGTGGATTTAACAGCATAAGGTCTCAGTCAGAAAGGGCTCACTGATGAAAAGGTAAACAGTGAAAATATTATTATTATTATTAATATGGCATTTTAACTTTTGTAGGTGGCTTAAATATTTTTCACTACCCTCATTCACAGCAGGATATTGCTTAGCTTCAATGCTAGTACTCCTGTGTGTGCATGCCAACAGTCATCTACTGTAGGTATACACTGACTATGGACTTATTTATACAACCCTATTTAAAAAAAAATGGTAACTTTCCCTTTACTGGCTATCTATTTTTTATGACATTGGTATATGATGTTTTATTTGGTTTTCTTTCCCTCTGCCCAGAGAAAGATGTGAACGGAGACACTCTGTGGGTGTGGTGCTATCCCTCTGTGAGCTCAGACCTGAGGCAAGTCCTGCTCAGCAAGTGCTGTCTGACTCAGGACAGCCGGGACTTCCACACCTTTGTGTTCGGGCAATTCTGTCGCACCTGGTTCTACATCAGCACTGTGGAGGTGCAGGAACCCACAGCGCTAAACAAGGTACACTGTCCAGAGAGTCAGCTGCTGCTAGAATCTCCATCAAGGAACATGAGTTACTTTTCTATCTTTCTATAGAGTTTATTGTTTGTCTCTCTTTTTTTCTCCCTTCAAGGTCACTCATTTTTCAATAGTTGTTACGGCAAAAGACTTCAACCCTGAGAAGTATGCTGCTCTCAGCAGAATCCTCTGCAGGTACAGTGTCCAACTCAGATAACACTGTTGTTACACTTTTATTTCAAGAGGGTTTTTTATTTGAAGGATGTGTTACTGTGTATTCTCCAGGATGTACATCAAACATGGCAGCCCAGTGAAGATGATGGAGGCTTACGTCACCGTCCTCACGAAAGGAATTTGCCAGAGTGATGAAAACGGCTCGTTTCTAATAAAGGACTACGATATTCGGAAAGCCTTCTTGGCTGGTTCAGTCAAAGGTAAGACACCTCAGTCTCTCAAGAGGAACACTAACCAGTATGTTGGGATCCTTTTGTGATTGTTAAACGTTCATGCAGAAATAAAAATAAACAAGTCCTACTAATACGTTGTTCATGCCACTGTAGTACATTCCCCTGCAAAATAATTCACATTATTTTCACTATTTTGGTCCAATACAACCTGGAATATAAATGTTTTTTATCTGCTTTTTATGTAATGTGTATCCAACCAAAATTTGGTGAGGTGAAATGAAAAAGGTAGTTTCAAAAAACTCTAGTAAAACAACTGAAAAGTGGTGTGTGCATATACAGCAGATTTGCTAATAAACCACCAAAATATTATGTAAAGCTAGCAATTATTTTCAGAAGTCATCTACAAAAAAGATGAAAAAAGCAATTTACTGTAACTGTCACATGATCTGTCATCTGATCTTACAGACAGCTGTTTTAAAACATTGGGTGCATTTCACTTCTCTTATTTTTCATTTCCTCGTTCCTCGGTCTCGGTATCACCGGAAGTTGATTTGTCTGCGCCACCTTGAGTAGCGTCCCAGTGGCCTTATTTGTGCCGGAGGACCGAGGAGCGATAATGGAGGAGCGATAACCGAGGAACCACCAGACCATCCTCCGATGAAATCCTCTGACACTCGCCCCGCCCCCTTACTGTGTATCACTCACTGATTGAACGATGCAGCGCATGCACTGATCTGATGCTTCTTGACATGAGAGCCGTTTCCCAGCAGAGTGAAGAAAATACATGAACCTCACGGGAGTCACTCCTCAGTCCATACTGTGTTTTGTTTCAATTAATGTAACATTTAGTTACAAATATGTGATATATCTGAACAACAAAGTGGTCAACAATTACTTTATTAATTTATTGGAAACATTTTCATGATCGCTTTTTTCGTTTATACATTTTAAGAATGGCGCTTTATCTTTTTTGAGAATGAGTTCTTATTTTATTTTATTTATTTGGGTCTACAACAGATGATACAAATGTAGTCAGTAAATGTGTACTAACAGAGGCGGGGGTGTTTGTGAAAACAACGGGGACAGAGCTGCTGTCAGACATCAGCTGTGCGGTGTCATCACAAACGGACGTCGCTTCACGTGGCGCTCTGGGGGAAAGGACGTCCCATTGCTCTTAAAACTAATTTCCCTGCTTCTCGTGGTTTCCTTGCGTCTCTCCATGCTTCCCTGGTGGGAGGGACTAGACGCAGGGAAACGACGCAAGTGAGGGACGCAAGGATTCCATTTAACCGAAATGAAACGCACCCATTAGAGGTTTCTCAATACTCAAATTTCCCCCCCTCGACTCCTATCCTCGAGACTTGGTGCCGCCCACAGGAGATGCGAGCGGAGGAGCCGAGGAGGAGGAGGGGAAGCAACAGGCGGTTAGAGAAACGAGAACTCCTCTACTCTGAGCGGTCATTTTAAAGAGACGTCCATTAATGATGACAGGAGGCACAGCATCACTCTGATGGACAGATGTGTTCATGACGACTTTATATATTTACTTTTAATTCATTGACAGTACGGTATAATGAGACAATAATAGGCTACAGATGCGGACATATACACACACACATATAAAATATAAATATATACAATTTCAGAATCAAACAAGTATGAGAGCACTCTCATAATAACGTAAAACAATCAGAGACTGGATATATCCCTCCCCCCCTCTCTCTGGTCGCTGAAATGGGGAATTGAAATTACGGGCCAAAAGTTGTAGAAGTATTAAAAGTAAGCATAGGACACCAAACCCACTGAGACCCGTCTGTCCGCCGCATCTACGCACTGTTTGTTTGTAGATATCTACTAAACTACAGCATACAAATACAGAAAGTAATGTAGGCCTGTTATACTGAGTGATATATATTTTACACACTGCTCTGCTTTCTGCACGGACCTCACAGCTGTTCTCACTGTAAACATCGCGTTGCGGTGAAAGCAGTTACTAAAATAATATCCAAGGGATGCATGCAGAGCTGTCATTGGCTGAGATAAGTCCGGCCGTGCGTCACGCATCCACAGTTCCCGGAAATGTATCCGTGGAGGATGCATCAGTGTCTCCTCGGTTAGAGCTCCTCCAGAGAGCCTCCTCGATGCTCGAAGCTCGGTCCTCGAAGTGCATTTAGATAAATGAGATGTCCTTCAACATGGCGCGCTGAAATTCATTTCCGGGTCACTACCGGAGGACCGAGGAGTCGAGGAGGGGAAATTTGAGTATTGAGAAACCTCTATAGTCAGTGTCCATTTTTGGATTCCTAAGGAGTAAAAGCAGGTCATCCAGTGCACTTCATGTCTGCATTCTCTCTTTGTCTCTAGACGTGGTGTCTCAGTTTGGCCTGGAGACGATCATCCTGTACACGGCTCTCATGCTGAAAAAGAGGATTGTTGTCCATCACCCTCGGATTGAAGCCTTGCTGGAGTTTACAAGGTGCGATTTAGACTCAAATAAAAAATTAAGGATGGCAATAGAAAGCGGGCAGATTAATTACAGAATCAAATACGTATAATTCTAATATTAAAAGTCTTGCAGATAATGGAAAGCCCAGTTGATTGCAATTATTTAACAAGTCCTGCATCTAAGAACTCCGATAGAGAAAGACAACCCAAATGAGTCATAACTATTACTGTGATAACAGTTTGATCAGTTAGATTTGGTTAGAAAAAGAGCTATAGAAAATGAAATTATCCATTTTTGCTCAAAACATTAAGTCTTATTATCCTCAGGTGCACATAGACTGTATGTCAAGAACTCTTTCAAAATCCAAACATGTGAAATGGGTTATCTCAGTGATATTGGCATCCCTTTTCCAATTATTTAGCTAGACATTTGTATTTGTAGAGGTGAGTATTTTCCTCCGTGTGTAAGTCTTTCTGTGTGTCCCCTCAGAGTCCTGCCCTCTCTGACCTGGCACAGGAAGGACTGGTCCATCCTCCACCCGTACGTTCACCTGACTGATACTGAACTAGAGGATCTGAAGAAATGCCCGGGTGAGGATTCTTTATTTACTCTTAGTTCTCCTCCTCTCTGTTGTTGATAAACCACCATCTGCTCTGAGATCTCAAGCTGGGGAAATGAATTATTCACCCAACAATATGTTTCTCCGCAGGATATGTAGCGGGGTTTGTAGATCCAGAAGTGAGCAACAGATCAGACTTGTTTGATGTTTATGTGAACCTCCCGGACAGCGTCATCACAGTATCCCAGAGTGCCAAAGGTATGTTCAGAGAGAAAGCAGTATGTTTTTAAGAGCCCTTTGATTCTACAGAGAGCAGGACAGCATTTCCTTCAGACTGATGTGAAGTCTTCCCTTCCCTTCCTTCCCCCCCCCCCCCCCCCCCACCACCCCACAGAGGCCATGGCTATGGGGAAGTTGCACAAAGACGTTGGACTTCTCATCGTGCAGTCTGCGGAGGATGCTGAGAGGTCTGACAGTCAGGTCATCAAGGTGAGATCCTCAGAACACACGTCTGAAATCAAGAATTAACGTCCTGAATCTGACACCCACTCATTACTCCACAGGATATTTCTGTCAAGACTAAAGAGATCCTGGCTAACTTGGCAGCCCTGGCTGATCAGTGTGAAGACTCTAAAATCACGTTGGAAAGTTTAAAGCTGCATCATTTCCCCCCGGCCACAGAGAACTTCCTCTTTCATTTGGCAGCTGCCGAGCAGCTCTTACGGATATAGTTTTTTATTTTTCAGACTCCTTGCTGCAGGATGATGTTACCGTCTCTTACAGCATGGACTCTGGCTCTGCTGTTCTCAATATGTCAGGACATCTCCTGTGGTCTTAAAGGCTTGTGCGCACTCTCTTCTTATGAGAGTGAACAGAAGACACTTTCTCACAGTTATCTTCATGTGAGGTAGGAAAGTGTCACATGACTCAGATCTTTACTTGTACCAATAAATACATGTTTATATATTTTTGATTGCCAACAAATCCCTTGAAAAGACCAAAATAACAATGACTTGAATCCTAAATGTTGCATTTTACTACCATGAATATGGGCACTGTGAATACTTGAGTGACTGCTGCTGACTATAATACTCACTACTGCACCAAATGTGTATTCATCCAAAGCAAAATATAGTCCCAAAAAGTGCACAATCTAATCCTATTTCAGTTAACTGCTGTTAACATTTACACTGCCCAGCTGTTAAAGCCTTTTATTTGATCAATTCAAGAATACATTAGTTTTGCTGCATGTATCAGTGGGCTTGGAACTACTGTAAGTGCCAAAAAAAGTAAGATGGACACTGAATGTTTTAGGTGTTTTCATGGTATTTGATGACATACAAATATGAAGTAACTTTAGCCTTGTTTTTGAAATCAGTAGTTAAGGACAATAAGGATCTACAGTGTTTTTCTCTAACTGTGTGAAACGGAGGAAAATAAACTGGTACTTTTCAGCTGGTACATCTAATAATCCTCCCAGATTTGAGCTCCCACAGTGCAAAGCGGCACGTACATGCCTTTATGGGAATATTGTGCAAACGCTGTAAAGAGATATAAATACGCAGCAGCTGAAATGCAGTTATTATTAATATTAAAGAGCTTATTGATAGAAACTACATTTGTGGTTATTGGATCATAATGTGTGTGTTTATATCATTTTTTTAACTCACATTTTGTATTTTACTAATTACTTAAAAACAAGCATATCGTGATGTACAAGGCTTTTTAAAAAACTTTATCAAAAGGTGTTCATCAAAATGCAGCTGATCAAATATTAGTGTTTCCATGTCCATATTGATTTATACTGAATCATGTGTCTTATTGTCCACGTTTTCTTTTTATCCACGTTGAGTTAGCGGCTAGCGCTGTTGCTTTAAGCACATTGCCAAAAAGATGGTTTTGTGCCTCAGACACACAGTGCAATAAATGCAAATTTAACTTTGGAAAATAAATGTATTATAATGAATTCATGTAATATTTCCTATGTATAATACAATTAATATTCCAGATGAATACATTTAATATAAAAAATAAGCGTTTTAATCTCTCAAACTGTATTTTTTCCATTGGGCATCTTTGAGTGTGTTACATGCGTTGTACATTTTCAGCTGCATGATGCTAAAGAAGAGATTTATTATAATACTAGCGAGTAATAGCAACATGTGTTTTGGTAGATTTGTGTATTTATAGGTCCTCAGAGTCCTCTATGGTAGTATAACAGTCCTTCGCAAGCTGCCTCCTGCAGGTTCTTTTCCACGTTTTCCTTCTTTATCTGTAAAACAAGGCTAACGTCAGCTGAGTTCATCACAAGGAAACCATTTCAGTACAGGAGGATCTGAATCTCACCGTGCTCAGCTGTGGAAAGAGACTGAACGAGACGGGGATCATCAAGCCAAAACCCATCGCAACACTCATGTAACGGAGAGGAGCGATCAGCACAGAGCTCTTCTGGATCACTCTTGTTCTAAAAAAGGACAAGTTATTTGGTTAAATCTGACCGTCCGACCAGGTAAATGTAACTTATTGTAAACGTGACTCACCTCCATAAGAGTGTTATCAGGAGGGAAGGGACAGCAGCGGTTGTACCGAACAGCGCTGCTCTTGACAGTGCAGTCTCCTTCACAGCCTGGACATAAAGAACAATTTAACTATATTTCAAAAAGAAAGGAATGTGTATTTGTCCTTTTGCTCTTCTTTCGTTAACCTTGTGTCCCGCTGCTTTAGAAAGGCCGACCAGATTTCCATTAGAATCAAACACTTGGATCCCAGTTTGTGACTCTTCACTTCTGACAGTGTACACACTGATGAAGGCCACAGCAGCTGGAGAGAGGTACACATACATGTTAGTTTAAAAAGTCTTACCTGCTAATACTGGATCCACAATTAAATGGAAATGAAAATGATGAAGTACTTTTTGTCTACTTTGGGGGGAATTTACGCATATACTACCTGACATGCAAAATAAAGTATTCAGATGTATGGAACAGTCTTTATATTTCATAGATACTTACCTGAGAGAGGGATTGGTAGCATGGTCCTTAAGACAGCCTTGATTACTTCACTACTTACACCAAGTTTATAAATCATAATTTGAGGAAGGGACTGAAACAAAAAAAGGTTTTAAAAAGCAGCATTTTCTAAAGTTGACTTGCCACATCATAATAAACATGGCACAGATGCCATTGTTACAATCAAGTTATACACACCCCTGCACATGTTGCATAGCAAACGGTTCCAGCGCTCAACAGAAGCTGCCTCGAAGACAGCTTCTTACTCTGGTGGGGAGAGATAAAGGTGATTAAGAGAAGCAGGAACAGAGAAGGACTGAAAGCTTCATATGAACTAATGCCAGAAAAAATTAATTAAAAGTCAAAGTATATTAAGGCATTCAAAGAATATTAAAATCCTAGTATGCCATAGCAAAAGGTATAGTACACTATCAAAAACATAATAAAATAGTATAGTATGCCAAACATCAAATTCATTTAGTATGCCACATGTTACAGATGTTATAGTATGGCATAACAAAATAATAAAAAAGTCATATGGTATGTCATAAAAATGTGATAGTACAGTATGGCATACAGAACATTTCCTATATTATGGCACATAATACAAATATGTTTAAGATGTCAAAGTATAATAGGTCATAAAAATGTGATATCGTAGTACAGTGTAACAAATTCAGAGCATGGTATATCATAAAATTATCTTGCAAGATTAATAGAGTGGTCCAGGGATGATGTATTTACCCGGAAATAAGCTGCGCATGGGTTCCCTCGACAAAAAAGCAATGGGATTTCTCCATAGGATTTAGGAAAATAGCTCGAAATAAGGTCTGTGGAAAACGAACCTGTTTGATAAATGCATGTTTTGTTCAGCCGGATAATATCCACATGTCTACCCTACTTTTATAATTTTCAAATCATAAATCTAATCGCCAGAAGCAAAATGCTAATGTTATGCTATAAACGAACGACAGCAGGGTCGCACGACTTCAACGTCACGCCAACTTAAAGGTGGGGTAGGTAAGTTTGAGAAACCGGCTCGAGATACACTTTTTGTTGTATTCCATGGAATGCTCTTAACATCCAGATAGCAATGAATATCTTAAGTGCTTTGACAAAAAATCCATAAAAAAGGTCATCTGTGGAAGCATTGGTACTGTAAAAAGCATGACCAATCATTTTAGCCGGCCCGGCTAAAATAACTGGATGGCCTACCTGCCTGTCAGCCTTCCATCTGTGCACAAACTTATCTCGTGTCCCTCATTGGTCATTGTGTGTGTTGGAGGATGGGCTCTGTAAGGAAGTGGCAGAACTTTTCCGGCTGTGTATTTTCAAATTCTAGCGCACTCGAGCTGTTTTCTCCAAAATTACCTACCCACCTTTAAGATCGATATTCAAAAATACAGATTCAAAATTGTACAAGTTAAAACTTTGTTTAAACAGTTTGCAAAAGCACAGGTACTTGCTTTCAAGCAGAACAGGGCAAACAAACTTAGCGGGAGTATTTACGAGTTTGGCGTAATGAAGTACAACTTCCCCACAACTTCTGTAGTCCTATTCAGCCACTTGTTAACAACCATCGTTTTTCAGACACGTAAACTCTTCAAAAATCACCAGTGGGGTCACTGCTGATGTATTTAATGTCGTAGAACAAAACGTGATCCGTCTCTTAAATTTGTGTCAACCACAGACCTTATTTCGAGCTATTTTCCAAAATCCTATGGAGAAATCCCATTGGCTCTGAGACGAGGGAACCGGTATCGGTAAAATCATAGGGTAAAATGCTAACTCACTTCCGGGTTTCAGGACTCGTCACTGCACCACTCTATTTACCATAAAACGAAAAACAAAAATACGTCAAAGTATAGTAGATCTTAAGAAATATTTTTAAAATGTAATAGTAAAGATGCATTAAAAAAAACAATACAAAATGTAAAGTATAGTTTTTCACACAAAACATCAACAATGTAATGATATGGTAAGACAAATAATTATTCAAAATGTCAAAGTACAGTTTGTCATAAAAACATGTTAAAAAGGTGATAGGACAGAGTGTACAATGTTACCTTTTCTGATGAAGAATTTCTGTTTGCAAGGGTGAACCTAGTTTGGTAACTCTGCAGGAAAAACTGAAAGAATGCATTTTTCTTTTTAAACATGAATGAACTGTGTTATAATACCCACATGTAATATACTGCACTTTTATTAATATGATGAATATGCTTTTACCTGCCAGAGCAGAGCATATTTCACATTGGTGTGAGGCAAAAAGCTGGCGACCACCTGAAAAAGAGGTTTGTTTGTATATGTAACAACCTTTATTTCAAAAAACTATTTAAGTTGTCATTTATTTTATATATTTACTAGATGACCAACATACCAGAGGTGCTGATGCAGACAAAAATGCTATAAAAAAATAACAGAAATAAGGGCATCAGTATCTATTTTATTGATACAGTTGTTATACTTGTTACATGATAAAAATGTGAACATATTTAATAATGGATGCAAACTATGTGTCAAAGCTTAGATTTACCACACCTGCAGGGCGGAGCATAAGTGGAAGAACATCACCAGAGTCAGCATGGACAGATGACTGTAAACACAGAGCGCTCATTAAAAAGCAGCACATACAAAATACATTTGTAATTAAGTAAAGGTTCTGTTTGAAGACATATAAAGTTGAACTGGAGGTTTATTGTGGAAAACATGACTGAATTCTAATTCATTCAAAGACATAAGGTTTTTCTTTCAAAACTTACAAGTGATAGGGTGACTGCTTCTTCATTCTACAGGAAGAAACAAACAGATTTTAATAAATCAGGTACATACATCTGACCATAGCTAATTCAAGTAATACAAAAAAAGAATCTGACCCAATCATCTAGTTTCTGTCCACCTCTAAGCAGACCATGAGCCCTCTCTATTTTGGCCTGCAGAAAGAAGCATGACTTGTAAGCATTATATTCTTACACACATGCATCTCACAGTATATTTAAACACTGTAGTGACAGCTACTTACATCAGAGGAAAGAAGGGAAGTGGGATCAAGGATATTAACCCAGATCTTGATCCGACTAAAGAACGACTGAAAAAAGGAAAGGAACATTTATTTAAAAACATGTTTGGATGAAATTATTACATTTCATTTGGCAGACGCTTTTATCCAAAGCGACTTACAATGTGCATTCAACCAGGAGGGTACAGAGTAACAAGAATCATGTAGGTACATTAGCTTCAACTAAGCCAAACCATTTAAAGTGCTAACACATTGATTGAAATGATATGTAAACGCCGGTTTCAGTTCCAGCTGAATATAAAAAACGTGTGTGTATAGTTACCTGTCCTTCGCTTTTCCAAAACAACAGATTAGGATCCATTGGGACAACGGCCAGGGGTCGTGGCAATGGCAACGTCCGGGGAACTTCTCAGAAATTAAATAAGTCACAATAACCCTTCTGCAGCACACATTTAAACAGCATGTATTGTTGTGCTTTTTAAGGTCAAATTCAAATCTTGAGCAAATACTTCCGCCTTCAACCCCGTGTTCAGCTGTGGGCGGCTGTGTACTGTGTGCTGCATTCGTGGACATCGGAAAAATCTGATGTATCCAAGTTGTGTTAATTTTAAGAGTGCAGTTGATGCTAAAAGTATGAAGCGCAAAACTTCGCAGACGTTATTTATTGATTTAAAGAAAAGCCATACAAAAAAATGTAAGGGAAATTTGGGGTATAATTGAATATTAAATAAAAATATGTTCAACCTTTTCAAATAAATAATTGTTTTATAGACTGCTATTTCAGTTTACTAGGTCAGTGATTTAGCCTTAATTTTTTAAGCATGCTTTGGTTCAAGTTTTAATGCAAAGTGCTATTAGGTTGAGTACATTTATCATTTTCTCAACACCTGAGGATCTTAATGTCCATGGTACATACGAGTGTTTACAGCATCCTGTTTACCATTGACTGGGTCCAGGACAGGTATCTTCGGATAATCAGTTTAACATCACTTTTTTTGGTGCAGAATATCATATAAGTGAATAATTTTATGCTCATATTTTTTCAGAGCACAGGTTTACGTCGAGCACGTGCGTACATGACGCAACGACCTGCTTAACAAACCGGCCGCCCTCCTCGGTTATGGCTAGAAAGGATCCGTCTTGTGTAAAACTCTCGCGAGAGTTTGGCTGAATGTCACGTGGCTGAATGTTTACGTTTGGCAGCCAGCCTTTCAGTTACGATCGTTAACATCAGTTGGCCACAGCAAATGATGGTGAGAAGCTAAACTATCTATTAATTATGTCAATTACAGGGAGTGTGATTGTTGAAATAGGGTGTTAGCGGTCTTGTTGGTGTTCAAAGAAGAATGACAACACTGTAGATCACCAACACTATGGTTTATTTTTTATTCACAGGCAAGTCAACGTTGTCGCAGTAAAAGTCCCAAGATAGCTCCTGGTGCAATAAAATGTTCCCTTGCAGTGTTTTACTATTAAGTCTGATGTTTCTCTATTAATATTGCTGCTGCATTAATGTGTATGTTGCATCATGTTACTGCTGTAGATGTTTTTCCGAGCCGCTCCGATTACAACGAGAGTTACAACGAGAACGTGACGTCATATTTACACTAGACGGATCCTTTCTAGCCATAACCGCCCTCCTCTGACAGACAATCCAAAATGGCAGCCTCTATCGGGAGACTTCTGAGGACATCTGTGAGTGAAACTTCTCCAACATAGCGTCACATGTTTATATTTAAAGTATTTATGCTTAGTATGCTATTTATTATTAACTAATAACTGTGTCAATAGCAGGAAACGATGTATTTGTGTACTCGCACGTGTGTTGCACATTTAAGTGAACCCGAGCACCAACTGACACAGTACTGACAAACCTCTGGTCCGCGGCCGCTGTTGTGTACTAAAATGGGTTACAAAATATATCCAGTTAATCTTCTTAAATCTTGTTAGCAGTGCATGTAAGGATTCATTCTAAAGTTGGAGCAACAGAAGTAGCTTTGCTTGGTAGGTTACTCAATTATGTTATATTAACCATGCAAATAAATACATGAATGTGATTTAATAACGTCTTTATGTTGCTGCACGACTTGGGTCTGTGAAAGCTAAAAGTGCTGAGCCACCGACTCTGTATGTTTGTTTCTCAATCTGCTGAGTATATCTGCATGTGTTACATTATAAATCATTCCACACAATGGACCCTTTCCCCCCCAATTAGAATAGCATTACATCATACAAAAGTATGTTAAATGCAATTTTACACTGTGCCAGCTAACGAGCACACATACATGTAATATTTTCCTGGTCTTGATGTTTTTAGGTATTGTGTAATATTTGCATATAATCAGAGTAGCAGTAACATGTTTGAACAATATCCTTAAAAAGACAAAGTTAGTTAAATGATCAACTTTAAATCAAATTAAATACAAAGAAAATCATCCTTTATTTATTACAGAACACTCCATTACTAATACTAGTTAACTAACCTGTCAGAGAATGCAATATAAATATATCATTTTTGGTATTTTCTTCACGGACACATTATTTTCTAATTCCACAACATTGACTTCACATCAGACCTGCAGTTATTTTTAACGTGCTTGTCCTAACTCTCATTATTAACACCAATTAGAGCTTTCTCAGCAGGTGTTCTGCTCTTGGCCGCTGATGGAGATCCCTGCTGTGATATCACTGTTCAGAGTGTGATCACAACAAACTCTCCATGGCTGAGTGCAGCGTCGTCTTTTTCATATTATGACAAATCCGGGAATGATCCTAAACTAAGCATTTTATATCACACGTGGTGGTCCATGTTGGCATAACAGAACTGTAGATATTTATACAAAAAAACATGCACTTTGATAATAATTACATTATTATATGGGGCTTCATATCTACAAATAATCAAATAGGACTAATATGTCTCAATACAATTGAAACAGACATGGATGGTTCATCCTTTATACATAAGTATTGTGAAGTTACTCACAAAATATCTTGAGATTTTCTTTCCAGTGTATTTCTGGATTGTTCATGTTGAATTTCTAAACATTTTTAAGGCTAAGGTTGCAGCAGGAGGGTTGAAAGTCACAGCCTCCTGTCAGCATGGAGCGTCTGGAGCTAGGAGGATCCTCAGCGCGCCGTCACTGCAGAGAGCCGGTTTCGCTACCAGTATGTACCTAAGTCACACGATACACAGTCGAATGCTGATTAAACTCTACAGCACACACCATTTATTGTCCGTCTAAAAATGTATCTGAGACCATTTGAATTACTTCATATGTAAACGTAATCTCTTTGACTTGAGGGCAAAACACGGGAGATTGGTTTGGCCAATTGTGTTTATTGTTTGAAGTTTTTCACTAAATAATCACCAAATCTATATTGTTCTCTCAAAGATGTTTCAGTGTCAAGAAGCGGTTATCTTCATGTGCAGGATAATATGCATCATTTGTTGTTCTCTGGAGTTGTTATAAAAGCAAATCCTCAGGTTATAGCTAAGCAATAATATCAGAATATTAAACATTTTGTTTTTGTTATTTAAATTTATTTCAATAATACATGTTACGCCTTATCTTAGCACATGTAAAATATTCAAAAAAATGTTTGGTTAACTTACTGATCAGTTTACTGTGTACACTGTCAGGTTCTTTACAGTTGCACAAACAGGCATGTTCCATCAATGTTATAAATAAGATTGCACACAGAGTTCTCTGTACTATACACTGTATGTTCCCTTGTTCTTACTAGGCAAATAGTTAGAAAGAATAAATGGTCTTTTCCATATCAGGCTCTTCCAGATGGGCCCCTGCTGTCACCCAGGCAGCTCCTGATTTCAAGGGCACAGCTGTCAGCAATGGTGAGTTCAAGGAGATGAGCCTCGCTGACTTCAAGGGCAAATACCTGGTCCTCTTCTTCTACCCACTGGACTTGTGAGTGTTTGTGACATGGAAAAAAGAAGAAGGGCTCTTAATACCCTTTGATTGAAATGCACATTGACTGATATTATACTTTTATGTTGCTCAGTAGATTGTTGAATGAAAGTCATCTCGTTTGAAAAAAGAAAAAACATTATTAATTTGTTTCCAAACATAAAATGGTAACATGAGACAAAAAGCAGTAAAATAGCAGTTCGTGTAAAAGAAAAAGAAAAAGAAAAAATAAACTTTTACAAAAAAAACCTGAGAGCAGTCCCAGCCAACCCTTACAGTAAAGCAAAAATGAGAAATTCAGTTCCACATGTCCATGCAAATGCTCGGTTACTTATCAAACATAACATTTCATCCACCCACAACAGGCTGTTAAACCAGACTTGTATAATAAAAGTCCTCTCAATTAAGAGGTCATATTATGTGCATTTGTATTGTGTGCCTCTACTGTGACATGTTTACATGCTTCAATGTTTAAAAAGGTCTTTATTTTTCTCATACTGCTTTGCTGCAGCACCTGGCTGGCACCTTAGCCTATCATGTACAATGTGTTGGATCAAGTGATGTCACAATGTTACCGAAGTAAACAATGGAGTAAAATCGAAGTGTTTCAGGCAGGGTGGAGTGTGTAGGAGAGAAACTCCCTCTGGAGGGAACTTTGGGATTTGAGCCTTTGCAGAACATTTACATGGACAAAAACCTATATAACACTACAGGGAAAGGAACGCCCCAAACAGCATAATAGGGCCCCTTTAATTGTCTTTAGGTGTGAATTTGGTCAGATAATATTTCCTCACTGAATCTTTTTTTTCTCTTTGTTTCAGCACCTTTGTATGTCCGACAGAGATCATCTCATTCAGCGACAAGGCCAACGAGTTCCACGATGTTAACTGTGAGGTGGTGGGCGTGTCTGTGGACTCTCACTTCACCCACCTGGCGTGGATCAACACGCCACGCAAGGTGCTCCCCCTCTTTGATCATTATTCAGAAACTGACTAGGTGCAGAGTTCAACTCGCTGACTTTTTCCATTCATTCTTTGATCTGGGTCACAAAGGAGCGTTGGCAAATGACTGACTGTATGTCTGATGTGTTTACTGCAGTAGTAGTGTCAGTTACTCTAACAGGTGTTGTTTCCTGGTGTTCTGTCAGACTGGAGGCCTGGGTCACATCCACATCCCCTTACTGTCCGACCTCAACAAGCAGATCTCTAAAGACTACGGGGTGCTGCTGGAGGGTGCAGGCATCGCACTGAGGTAAGTCAGTCATTTATACACGTCTGACAACAGGGAAATATCACTAATTTATCTTTTTACAACAAAGGGTAGAAAACGGAATAGTTAGGAAGCTTCAAGCATAATTGGCATTCAAATGCACATCCATTCATCCTGTTTAAAGCCAGTGTTACCGCACGGTTGCAGATAAAGTATACGCCACATTATAATTGTTAGAATTACAGTTGCAAGAAAAAGTATGTGAACCCTTTGGAATTACCTGGATTTCTGCATAAGTTGGTCATAAAATGGAGGAAGCCACTGCTGTGCAGAAAAAACATTGCTGCACGTTTGAAGTTTGCAAAAGAGCACCTGGATGTTCAACAGCACTACTGGCAAAATA